GTATGAAAGTAACACCCCAGCAGGTATTTCAAAAGCGAGGCTTTCCTGTGTGATGATCGTCTTGCCCAGAGATACAAACTACTTGTTCTCTGGCTCAGATTGTGACTGAAATACACTGGGCCACATCCAGCATGACGATATAGTTGAGGAAAGGAAAGCCAATGACTCGAGATGGACGGAAAATAACGTCTGGTATGCTGCAAAACAAACGAGAGGTAGAGAAACTGGTGAGGAACAAAGATGCAGTCAGATTCATGCAGCCGCTGAGAGGAACACCAGCCTACTGGGAGAAAACCACACGAGACCTTTTTGCCATGATCAGACAGTTGGGAACTCCCACATTTTTTTGTACATTTTCTGCAGCTGAGATGCGTTGGCATGAAGTGATTGAGGCAATAAAAAGACAGCAAGGTGAGGTGGTGAACTTTGAAGGGCTCGACTGGTCAGCAAAGTGTGACATTCTGAGAAGCAATCCTGTGACAACAATGTGCATGTTTGATAAGCGTGTTGAGGCCTTATTCAGAGATGTGCTCTTATCTCCTGCACAGCCTCTTGGCAAAGTCGTTGACTACTTTTACCGAGTTGAGTTTCAGCACAGAGGAAGTCCACACATTCACTGTCTCATATGGGTAGAAGGTGCACCTGTGTTTGAGGAGGATGATGATCACACTGTGTCAGCTTTTGTTTCCAAATACATCACAGCTCAGCTACCTGACCAACTCACACAACCTGAACTGTATAAGAAGGTCACAGAGGTGCAAATACACAGCAAAAAACACTCACGGACATGTTTCAGAAGCCCCAGCTCGGGTTGCAGATTTGGTTTTCCTAAACCACCTTCCAGAAAGACAATAATATCGAGACCTGGTGAGGGCGTTGCTCCACTGCAACTGCAAATAGCAAAGTCCAAGCTCCAACCACTGAACTTGTTGCTGAATGAACCTGAAACTGCCTCACTCAGTTTGCAGCAGCTCCTTGCTAAATGCAACTTAACACTCCAAGAGTATGAAGGATGCCTCAATGTCATCAACAAATCCAGTGCAGTGATCCTGAAACGTGAGCCAAAGGACTGCTGGGTAAATGGATATAATGCACATCTACTGGAAGCCTGGGATGCCAATATTGATGTCAGTTATATTCTCAATGCATATTCATGCATCATGTATCTCACCAGCTACATCACCAAAAAGGAATCTGGACTTTCTGAGTACCTCAAAACAGTCATTGAAAACTCCACCAAAGACCACGTCAATGAATGTGATGAAATGAGGGAAATCATGCAGGCGTACTCTAAAAAGAGAGAGGTCAGTGCTCAGGAGTGTGTGACTCGCGCATGTGGAATAAACATGAAGAAGTGTTCACGTGGTGTCATATTCGTACCAACAGATGACAACGCACTGAAAATGAGTCGCCCCATGTCTTACCTGGAGAACACAACATTAGAAAGTGTAAATGTGTGGATGACGTCTTTGACTGACAAATACAAATCCAGACCAGAAACACCAGAGTTTGAGCAGATGTGTTTGGCTGATTTCGCAGCTACTTGCAGAATTGTCTACGGCCAGCAGAAAAAAGGAAAAGATGTGTTGCCTCTCCTCAATGACATGGGATTTGTGCAAAAGCGTAAAAACGATAAGCCTGCCATCATCAGATTTTACCGCTGCTCACAGGAAAAATATCCAGAGAAGTTCTATGGCACATTACTGAAACTGTACATTCCTCACCGATCAGACCTGGAACTGAAAAGACGGCATTTCCCCACGTACGAGTCCTTCTACAAGAGTGGTTGTGTCCAACTACCAGGTTCTGACCATCCTGAGTGTGTCCGTCACATTGTGAAACGAAACAAAGACAAATATGAGAAAAACAGCGAGGACATTGAGAATGCAGTGGAAGAATTTGAACAGAACAGAGGAGTGATTGATGAATGGTGCAATCTGGCTCCAGAATCTGAAGTGGAAAGGTTGGAATGTATCGAAGAACTGGAAGCAAGAGAGCCAGATCATGAACATGTTCAAGAAAATGTTCCAGAATACAGTAATCAGGCAAATGCTGCAACAGAAGCCAGAGCAATCAGAGAGCCTCCGACCTTTGACCCCACACTGCTACGACAGATGTATCAGAACCTGAACCAGAAACAAGCATGTGTGTTCTATGCAGTTAGAGACTGGTGCGTAAAGCGTGTCTGTGGCCTAAATCCTGAGCAGTTTTTCTTTTATGTCAATGGTGGTGCTGGAACAGGAAAGTCACATCTCATTAAATGCATCTACTCAGAAGCATCTAAGATACTGTGCAAACTGCCCAGCCATTCTGAGGAGGTCGACATAGCAAACCCCACGGTCCTGTTGACAGCTTTCACTGGAACTGCAGCCTTCAATATATCAGGATCAACACTGCACTCTCTGCTCAAGCTTCCACGAAGTCTGAAACCTCCATTTCAAGGACTTGGTAACCAACTGGATGAAGTCCGATCAGAACTTTTAAATGCTGAAATCCTCATCATTGATGAAGTGTCTATGGTATCAAAGCCCCTGTTTGCTTATGTGGATGCAAGACTGAAACAGATCAAAGGTAGTACCAAACCCTTTGGAGGAATGTCAGTAATAGCTGTGGGAGACTTTTATCAGCTACCACCAGTGCGACAGTCCAAGACCCTCTGTGTGTACGAGCCATGTGAGATTGACCTATGGCAGGAACACTTTCAGACAATCACCCTGACTGAGATTATGCGGCAGAAGGATGATGTTGCCTTTGCAGAGATGTTGAACCGGATCCGTGTGAAAGGAAAGTCAGATGAGTTGTCTCAAGCAGACAGAGCCTTGTTGTCACAGACCATCACTGAACCATCACTTTGTCCACCTGATGTCCTGCACATCTTTGCAACTAATAAACAGGTTGATTCACACAACTCAGTAACATTAGCTCTGCTCCATTCTAATATCACCAACATCGATGCAGATGACTACAAGAAGGACCCACGAACTGGAAGAATGGCTCGACAAGCCCAACCATACAAAGGAAACAGAAATGAGTTACCAGACACACTAAACGTAG